AAGTAAGAATATGCCTTAAATAAGTGAAAAATTGTATTAATAAGATAGTGAAAGGTTTATAATGTAAAAGTCTAGTTGTATAGAATAAGCTGAGTTTAGAAGTTATAATAGAAGCATTTATGTGCATGTGAGACAGAAGCCTATTGAACAAAAGTATCCACAGTGCAAAAGAAGTGAGTAAAAGTGATAGGTTAGAAAACCAAAATAAACCCTATAGCAACTGTTTGTTAAGTTAGAAACTTAAGTTCTGTATTACCTTGTAATGAAGAAACTTGTGACTACTCTTGAGCTATGGCTGACTGCTTGCTCCTCTAAAACCTCACAGCTCTGAGACTGATGTTTATCTGAGCAATAAATCCTCCTTAACCCAAAAACAGTCCCATCCCTTCATTTTTAGCAGTGATACCTGCCTTTCTCTGGGGCTTTCACTGTGGACTGTTAGAGGGTGGGACAGAGCTGTGTTCAAACCCAACTGCCCCCAGCCCAGCCCAGGATTCATGGGGAGGTTTGAAATTGCCACGTGTTGAACCATGAACGAAGGCTCTGCTGTTAGAAGTGGCAGATGGAGCAGACTGAGCTGGGCTGGCTGGGAAGGCAGGAGGTGAGGGGGGACATGGAGCACTGACATCAACTCTGTTAAGTGATATTCTAACCTGGACTTGCTCCTGCCTCTTGCTCCACGAGAAGAAAGGATCATGCCTTAGATGTGGAGTCTACTCTGCTTTAATCACATCAGGAACCTCATCCTTTTAAATGCAAACCAGAACTAATTGTGCACATCTCCTTCCCACTTGAGATATCCCCAGTCTGCAGGTTCTGAGAGGTGTCACTTCACTTTGCTCTATGAAACCTGCTCTGTATTGATGCTCTGCATTTCTCCTGACAGGTTTCTACAAATTATTTCATCAAACTCTTCCATTCTTACCAACAGAGGCCTGCAGCAGCAATCCTGCCAAGCCTGCAGCAGACTGAAGAGCAACAGGGTAGTTCAAAGGAGCTTGGAACAGGAGAGGATAAAGGAAAGTAGATAGGAGATGGTTAGGGGGGAGAAAAATGAAAAAAAAGTGATTACATTGTTTGAGGAAATAAAAAGTTCCAGTCTTTTGGGGAGAAATAATATGTGAGATTTAGGAAATCTGTGTGTAATCATAAAAAAGAATGGGGACACTGCCTCAGGCCTGTGAGAAAAGAACATATCAGATGCTTTACTGGGGAAATTGAAAGAGCTATATTTAAGGGCTACAAGAAAGCAGAATTTCCCTCAAAACCTCAATTTGCTTTCACTGCCACCATAGCAGTGACAGAAGATGTTATGACAATGTTTCTGGGTTTGGTTGTTTTTAGAGCTGCCTTTATCCAGCAAGGACATAGCATTTTTAATCTCCAGCCTGTGTTCCTGTCAGCACTGTCCTTTATTGGATTCAAAACTCAGCAGGGACGTGGATGCTTCCCAGAACAAATACCTTTCTTCCCCTACTTCTTCTCTGATAACCACTGCACAAATAAAACTTCTTCTGATGGAATCCACCCAGGTCACTGCTGGCCACTGCCAGCACATTGTTGAATAACAAGTCAGGAGTTTTACAAAGGACTCTTATTCTACCTCAGAGGATGCTCTAACAGCACAGTGACAAAGGAAAATCCAGGACAAAGCAATTTGGGTTTCTGCATTATCAGCAATAGCAAAGGAAAAATGTGATTCAAACCAAGTGTTTTAATCCTTTGGATTTTTTTTTTATTATTATTTTCTTTTTCTTCAGCTTGATTGGTATTATTGATAGCAGAATTCCTCCTATGGAAAATTTCTGCTTCAGCAGTGTGAGATTGTGATTCTGTGGGATGATGAGGCTGAGTCAGTGGAGGGGGGGAGCAAACCTTGACTATTAATGAGGACAAACAGACTGAGAATCCCAGCAGTGCAGATCCATTCAACAATACCAAATGAAGTACCCTGAGCAAATCTCTCCAAGGCCTGTATTGGACATCAATCCACTTCTGCAGCACACCTTGTGCACAAGTCCTTCGTTTTTCCTTCTTGCTGTATTCTTTTCTGTTGCTGAGTTTCTTTTGTTTCACATGGTACAGACAGAACAGCTCTCACAATTTTTAGACCACCAACATTTAGACCTTGAGAAAGTGATATTGACTTGCTGCCACAGTGACTCACTGGCATTCAGCCACTGTGCCAGCAATAATCAAGGCCTCTCCTTCACTTTTTATTATTTAGGTGCTAAATGAAATGTTTACTGGCTTGGTTGTCATTGCAGAGGTTCAGGTGCAACAGAACTGGAGAAAACAAGGTTGAAATGGGCCTTCACAGGAAAAGGAGGCCCTGGCTGAGCTCTCATCCCCTCCCAGTTGTGTTGGGGTCTTATGGACACAAATGGCAGATGATTTCATCACCTGCTGCTCCATCTGAGATTCCTGACCCTTAAAACACTCTGATTCCTCAGTGTTTAGGGCAGCAGGACTTTTCTGCTAAATGAAGGGTGGGATGTGAACAAAGGATGAAGTTGCTTAAGGAATGGAGGAAGAATGAAGCTGGGTACAAGGTGACAGGATAAATTTGGAAAAATCAGGTTGAGATCCAGTTCCTTCCCCCTTCCCAGTTCAGCACAACTGAGGACTAAGCCCCACTGGGCTGGGGCAGCACCAGTGATGGTGAAGCTCATTTCCAAAAGCAGAACACCCTCCTGACCAGCTGAACAAATCCTTTATTGGATTCAAAACAGCAACACTTTTTGTCATGCCAGGCAAATATTTCACCTGCTCCTAAAACCCCCGGAGTGAGAGATCCCAAAGCCTTGCCAGCAGTTCTGGTGTGCTCCAGCCTCCCCCTTGAGACAGAGCTGCCTTTGGGATCCACCTGCACTGACAGAGCAAAGGAAAATTGAGCAGGTCCTGGGGAAAAGCACAAAGATTGGGAGCAGATGTAAAACCTGAATCTTCCTGGGGGTCCTCTATTGAGGACCTCAGTGAGGATTCACCCTCCTTGCATTTTCCTCTATTTTCATCCTCAGCAGGGACTCATGGAGTGAGGTAGATGGATGGAGTAGGGCAAGAATAAAGAACTGGCAGATTTCTACTTTAGGTCAAGATGAGGAGCTATCAGATTGTATTTTTTTGGCCAGGAATTACCTAAATTCTCTCCTTCCACCCAATTCCATCACACCTTCTTCCACCCAAAATAAAACAGCATTTAAAAAAGCCCCAAATAATAGAAATTGATTATCAAAACGGATTTGTTCTTGGGGCACTTTATAGAGGGAAATTTGACAAAGATGTCCATAGCCCAAAATTTGAGCAGGGACAACCTGCAAGGAAACATGAATTTGGGTTGCCTTTCCTGGAACATCTCTAGAACTTTAGAAAATGGATGTATATTGAAAGACCCTGAGGAATCTCCTGCTGGTTAACTCTGGCTGCACACTGGACACGTTTTGCACTGGGGATTTGAAGAGATGCACTATCTTAATTCACAGCACGTACAGGAAATTCTTAATTGCTACTACTCAGTTGTTGTTTCTAATGTTGAAGCTGAGTGCAAAATTTAAACCTTAAAGTTTAAATAACAGAAGAACAATTTAGAAGAATGCAGGTGAGCCACCTCTGTGTTTGAAGCTGGATAACATTTATATCATCCTACCTAATTGTTTCTGTGTTATTTACTCAAGCATTTATAAAAGACTGAGCATAAAAGCAGGGAATATAGCTCCTGCAATGAATAATTTGCATTCTTTATGCAGTGCAAATTCATTCAGGTCTCCAAGCACTGTGGGAATTAGCTTTATATGCACTGTAGAGGGCTTGAAATGGAAGTTTAAACTGATGCATCATAAAAGTTCCCATTTAATGCTTTAAGGTGCTTTTTTTCTTTCCATTAGCATAGATTATTCTGTTTCTAGATTCTGGAGTGCGAGAAGATTCCTATTGTTATTAGAAAAGGCCTTGTTAGGGATGCTCAGAAGACTTAGCTAAGGCTTTGGGGATGCTCTGCTCCAGGAAAACAGTAATTCTTGCACTGAGGTCACTGTCAATCATCCTGCTGTACTCCTGGCCAGGGGGAGGATGTCCTCCACCCACAGCTCATCCTCTGCTATTAGAACAAGGTTTTTCTTAAGGATTATCATTGCACAGCATTCAGTGCAGCTGGTTTTAAGTTGAGGCTGTACTCTCCTGGACAATACAGCACAAATTATACAGAAATGGCAGGCATGGAATACAAGAAATAAACCAGAATTAACCCATCAGGCCACTCCTATGAAAATACATGCCTGTGATTCAGGCTGTGGAGATACATATGATGACTGATCCACATCCACTTGTTTTCCACCAATTTGCCTTTGCTCTTGTCCTTTCTCTTCCCTGTAGCCCTCACTCTGCTTTCACTGACATCTCCATTTGCCAAACTCCCTTCAGCACCCTGGGCCAGATCAGGGAAGGGTTTCTATGCAGTCCCCTTGATTTGCATTCATCATTTCATCAGCACTGCTGGGGATTAAGCTCCACTAATGATGTTCCTCTTTTTATTTAAGAAAACTTCTAAGCCCTTTAATGAAAGAAAAACCAAAACTAACCCAAAACAAAATGGAAAGATTTTGTTCTGTCTCCTTTGGTTTAGATCCAGGTTTTAGCTGTCAGGGAATGCAAGACATTACCATGCTCTGCCTTGGGAGAAAACAAAATTTGCCCTCAAAACTTGCAGCTTGACACACTCAGATCTTGGTCTCCCTTAATGAAGAACACTGTGCTCACTGAATTTTTTTCCTGCATCAATAAATCATGTTCAGTTCTTTCCCTGACCCAAACAGGCTTCAGCTCCTGCACTCAGGAGGAGCTCATCCAGCACATTAGTCAGCAACACCACAGATCTGCTCAAGAATATAAAAGCCATGAGCACTTTCAGGACCACCCATGACCTGGACAGAGTCAGGAGAGGGCTGGAGCAACCCAGAAAGTGTCACCCAAGGGAGTTAGAAACATGCAAACACATTACTCACCTCAAGCACAAGAAAAGCATAAAGGCAACTATGAGGGCCCCTACTGAAATACAGTGGCCCAGGTAGTTTATGATGAGAGCAATCTTGTAATGGAGCGCATACTTCCTCTGGAGGTAAAGAGATAACAGCATTAAATCAGCATCAGTCTCCAAGCACTGCCATCCAGGAACAGTTTAGCACTTCAGAAAACAGTCATTACTTCTATTTTTCTCAACTTTATAATGATATAATAGTACCAGGGCTGATGCCTATGTGTAAGGCAAATATATTGTCCAGGCACACAGGCTTGGTGTCATTTCACTTTGGGATTTGTCCACAGCTTCTTACAATTATCTGCAAAAAAAGTTATTTTGTCCCCACTTTCCCCTATTTTGTTATTATTTTTTTCCCATTTGCTCAGATTTATTTGTTTTAAACCTTTGTCATTTTAGGTGACAAACCTAAAGACACACCTCAGAATTTCAGAAGTTATAAAACATCCTTTTCTTAGGAAACAACATGGTCTTAATGAGCCAGGTTATGCCATTTTCCTACTCAAATGGCTTGGTTTTCAAACAAAAATGTCAGCAAGAATAAATAACAAGCCCTTCCCACACAGGCAGGTTTTCCTCTGAGGGACATTCCTTGCAGGCTGTGATCTTTATCCTTCAAACCAAAGCAGACTAAAAGCTGAAACCCAGTGCTGTCCCTTCAGTTCTGATAAACCAGGGATCCTGTTGTTTTTAGCAGGTATACCAAATATGTAGTGAAATTTTCTGCATTAGTGTCTATTTCCTTGCATGCGGGGGAGATTGTTGGCAAATTCTTGATCCTGTAAATAAAATTTTAAGTACAGAAGTGCTCCCATCTAAATCAGTGAATTTAGGGATTTAGAGACCAAAATTTGGCCTTGCAGAAACATCTTTATTGGTGGGCTGCTGTTGGCTTTGGAGAAAGCAGAAGCATCTCCTCTCTTTGGCTGGCTAGGAAGAAGTAGAAAGACACTATTCAGATAAATACTGAAGATGGCTAAAAAGAGGTTTGCTACTGGAAGACTAAATGTCCCTGAAAAATATATTTGTTATTGGTTTTGACATTTATTTCTTTTCAAGTTAAGCAGATCTTTCCCCACATTGGGATGTTGCCCTCCTTCAGAAGAACAAGGCTCTTAAAAACCAACCACCTACATTTCCTCCCTTGTGATAAAAATATGAAAGTAAAATCCTACAAATGGCATCATTTAAAAAAAAATGGTTGAATTTTTTTTTTATTTTTTTCCCTAACAATTTCCCTTAACATTTTACTCCAGTGAAAGGAATTTGTCAGTGAATGAATGTTTGGCTGAAACTACAACCAGCAGCTGTAGCTCATCTGTTCCATTGTTCTGTGAAGATAAGCATCTTCCAGCACTTTGCCAGAGAGCCAGGGAGCTCTCTTGGAATCATTTTTCTGCTGAAACCTGCCTGCATCTTCAGCTCACAGAGTAAATGTGCTGTTTCTGGACACAACTCAACCACGCAGAGTATTTTTAAGTCTATTATAAAATCCCCTAAAATAAACTTCCCCATCCACGGGCCCATTTTCTGAATTGCCTGGAGGTGAAAAGAAAAAAAAAAAAAGCAACAAAGCGAAGCTACATAATTCAAATTCCACACTGTGTTTTATTGATCCTTCAGCTGAGGGGACACCTGAAGGGAAAGAAAAGTCACTTGACCTGCTCTGCCTACCTGTGCAATGCTGTTTTATTTAACAATGCCCTGGCAAACTGCAGGGCTCATTGACTCTCCTGCTTAATTGACAGAGCCAGAGGATCACAGAGCATCCCATGGGATCCAGAAGGATCATTGAATCCACTGCTTCTGACAGCACTATCAAAACCCAAGCCCATCTGACTGTGTTCAGAATTGCTCATTTAGGGCTAGAAATCTTCTGGGAGATGGCAAACCTTGTGTTCTTCCAGCACAAGGTTCCTGCTCTTTCAGTCTGACCCTCCTTTGGCTCCTGAACACTATCTGAACTTCACTCAAGTTTTAAGAAGGTGTGGTTCAAAACATGAGAAAATTAATTGGAAAAAATAAACTTATGAAGCTCCTTTTTGATGCACTGATGCTGAAGGAAAAACAGGCACGACTTTCGTATTTTCTGCTTCTGATGCTAACGAGGTTTCCTGAAGGCAAATTCAAACATCACAGAAACAAGAACTGCCTTGGTGCCAAGGGAAAACTAAGCTGACAGGGTGGCAAGATCACTTTCCACCAGCCTACATGCAATCTGCATCTCTGGAATGGGAGGCAACGTCTTCAGGGCTGAAAAGCATGTGCCCAGAAAATCATGTGTTTGCTCCCCAAAGCTCAGCTCATGTCAAACACTTGCACAGCTCTTTTCTGACTCGCCCTCTTGGACACCAATACATTTAAAATGTCAACAACCTTCTCCTGTTACCCAATATCCTTCTGCTTGCAGGCAAGATTTGCCTCACTAAAACAAAGATTTAAATTCTATTCAGGCTTAGGAGGAGAGTTGCTAGAAATGAGCTAGAAATTAGAAATGAGCTAGAGAAGGAGATCACAGAATCCTGGAAAGGTTTGGGTCAGAAAGGACCTCAATGATGATTCCTGCCATGGCCAGGAGTGCCAGCTATTAGAACAGGTTGTTCAGAACCCCTGACCTGATCCAATCTGACCTGGAACACTTCCATGGATGAGGAATTCAGGGATAGGGAATCCATGGATGAGGAATCCAGAGATGGGGAATCCAAGGATGAAGAATACAGGGATGGGGAATCCAAGGATGAGGAATCCAGGAATGGGGAATCCAGGGATGGTGAATCCAAAGATGGTTTTACCCCCTGGCCACAGCAGGTCACATCACTGCAATCCCATTCCATGACTTTAGACGTGACAATCGTGTTACACCAGGTGGGGCAGAGGTGTCTCCAGAGCTTCTCAAACCTGGCAGAGGTGTCTCCAGAGCTTCTAAACTGAGGAATGACAGCACAATGTCTTTACCTGCACTGGCTTTGCACATCTAAGGCATGCTGGGCTCCCCTCCAGGCTAATGACAGACTCGTTCTGTCTAGAGCACTTTACCCCTTGCTTCAGCTGCAATGTGACTGCTTAACCTGCCCTAAACAATTCAGTGAGTGATTTGAATCAATAACCACCTAATAAGAGCACTCTCAGACCATGTGCCAAGGATCTGGCTTCCTCTAACAGAACTTACTGACAGGTCCTGCCAGCGTTTACAGCTCATGTCTCCCTGGGAGGCTGCACACGCCACTGCCAGTCAGTCACTTCCAATTTCCTCCCGGTGCCAGGATGATCTCAGCACCAGCACAGCTTAAGGACACCTCTCCAAAGACTTTCAGAAGCAACTGGGAAGTATCTTTGTCATGCCAGATGACTCTGAGCTCACTGCTTTCCCATCCTGAGCCAGCTGGGAGCTGCTGTGGCTGAAGTGACCGTGCTCCTATGCAGGATACATTAGCCTGAGCCCAGCATGGTGCTAACTCAGCTACTCAGCTTGAAGCCACCTCAAAACATCAGCAGAAGCAAATTCACATACAGCTGCCACAGACCACAGCACCAGTTCCTGATTTATAGCTCTTTTTGGAGGCTAAGATGTTTTTTGTGCTGCCTGAGACGCTCACTAAGAAGAGCAGAGATTTGTGTCAGATGCAGTCAAGGCCCTTTCAACACAGGAGCTTGTAGGCTGAGGAGAATCTTTCCATTTGTCACACACTGTGCCACTAAACATCCAGCTGGATCAAAATTATTTCTGTATCTTGCTCCTGTGCCTGGAGGAGGAGCCAGCTATTTGTTGAGAGGGTGAGATCAGTCTGACAGGAGGACACCAGCACTTGGGTACCCGCCCAAGGCAAGGGTTAGGGGCAGTTGTGCACACACAGGCACCTTGTGTCCCCTGAGGTGCAGTGGGGACACTTGTGATTCCCAGCTAGTCCTGGCAGGACCTCCATGGCTGCTGCTGAACCAGAATTTTTAAGGTTGGAAAAGACCTCGAAGATCACTGACTCCAACCATCCCATTCACCACTAAACCCTGTCCCCAGGTGCCACATCCACAAGTTTTTGAATACTTTCAGGGATGGTGACTCCACCACTGTCCTGGACAGCCTGTTCCAATGTCTGAAAACCCTTTCAGAGAAGAAATTTTCACTAATACCCACTCTAAACCTCCCCTGACACAACTTAAGGCCATTTCCTCTCCTCCTGTCCCTGTTCCCTGGGAGCAGAGCCTGAATCCCCCAGGTGTCCCCTCCTGTCAGGAGCTGTGCAGAGCCACAAGGTCTCCCCTGAGCCTCCTTTCCTCCAGGCTGAGCCCCTTTCCAGCTCCCTCAGCTGCTCCTGGTGCTCCAGAGCCTTCCCCAGCTCTGTTCCCTTCTCTGGACATGAAGGACACAGGCATTCCAAGGGACATTTTAAACCACACCACACAACTACATTTAAGGAACTAGGTCTCAGTCAGAGTGGGAATCTAGCAGCAAATCAGTCCCAGAGCAGAGTTTTAGCAGCTGCTTCTACAGGTCTCAACCACAAGCAGAGCAATGATGCATTAATAAACCCAGTGAATGGGTGTTACTGAGCTGATGGCCCCTAAGACTGACCCACAGCTGGGAAAACCATAACATTTCTATTGGTACATTACCAAAACTCTGTCATAAAGCACGGGATTGATGTTGAAAAGTCCTGTTCCTGTCCCCTGTTATCAATCACTGAATTAAAATCATGTGATTCTTTAGCACTCTGCCTGTGAGTGGTCAAGCTTAAAAGCAGTGTTGGTTTTTTGGATGAAAAATCAACACAAGTCACAGGGCATTACCCCCCCAGCTGATGTTTAGCATCTGCTAAACTCAACAAATAACAATAGACCCACTTGTGTGCCTGAATCTCACCTTTAATCAAAATGGAGCAAATCTGTGGGGATTGTTCCTTTTTTCTATTTTTTTTTTTTGAGATCACAAAGTATTCATCTGTAACACTGAGCATTATGAGAGATTTCAAAAATATTCACAAATATTAATATTTGCAAAGCTTGTCACAAATCTTTAAAGATCTAATAAATGAGTTTTTAAGCCTCTGTAAGCAAGAGTGGGGGAACATCTGCACTTTCATCTGTTTAAGAAACATGCTATTTAAGGAGTTTTAAGCTATCACCATAGCTGCAAAATTTTTAAAAGCCAAAACAGAGTAAAAGGAATAATCCTGTCCTCTAGTCACAACACTTCTCCAGCCTTTTCAAATAAAACCCCTCTGTATTTGCTTGTGCACAGACAGCCACTGTTGGGAGCCATGCAAACACATAATGAGTGTTATTAAAATGCAGCAGCCTTTTCCTGAGTGGCTGCAGCTCACTGCTCCCAGCTCAGGTTTCCTGTACCACCTAAACCACACCACAGATCTCAAATCTTGGCCCAGCTCTGCTCCCCATTCTCCAAATCAGCACTGGCTGCTCCACATCCCCTCTCTTGCTGCCTTTTAAGACATGGTCAGTCTGTCCCTCCAGTGCCCCAGCTTGTGCTGGCCCCAGCACTCCTGCAACAATGCACTGAGATGCTTTAGGGACCTGATTCATCCAAAAAAATGACCCAGCAGCAAGTTAGCTTTTAATTTTAAATGAGGATGAGGGGCTGCACTGGGGTGGTCCCAGCTTAGGTTGGCCTAAATTGCCTTGGGAGCCTCTCCACTGTGCTAGAACACCTTGAATGTCCCTCTGGGTGGCAGTCAGGTACTGGCACGACTTCCCCTAATTCCTAGAAGCCTCTAGGAAAAGGAGGGGGGTTAAATTAGCCAGGGGGTAAGAACAGGTTCCTCCTCAGCAGCTGGTGTGTTATTTGTTTTCTGATTCACCAGAGAAAACCCAGACTGACCAAGCACATGGACCTTACAGGATGGATGCTGCACCAGAGCCAAAGCACATCCTGGATCTTTGGGGTGCAGCACAGAGCCCCTGAGCACTAAATGTGGGATCTCATCTTCCTCCTCTCTGTCCCTGGCATGGCACAACTACAAGGACACAATGAGTTGAATGAATCCCAATGATGCCTCAGCTTTTAGCTTCTATAGTTTCAGATTCTGTGCTGCTTTAGTGTGTGGGTCTGAGCTTCACATCAGGGCATGCTGAGCTCTGAGCACAGAGCAGGGAGACAAAACAATTCCTGCTCCAGCTGGGCACCAAGGACAAATGATCCAAATCTCAGCCCAAGAGCACAAACCCCGTGGGCTGGAGAGAGAAAAACAAGCAGGGTGGGACTGCAGGGGCTAAAGCTGGAATGGGACAATGAACTGCAAGATGCAAATGGAGCAGAACTGATCCCAGGGAGAGACCCCGGGAGCGCTGGTGCATTTTGGGGCCATTTTGGTTCATCTTGGGTGCAGCCCTGGCTGGGCTCTTGTGCTGCCCAAGGTGCATCCATGGAGGCCTTTTAATAAATCCCTACTTTGTTCTTTAGCTGCATTCAGTCTCTGTTCTAGGTCAGCCTTCTGAAGGCATCACCAAAACAAACCAGTCTGAGCTGCTGGGCTCCACCCTGGTTCCCAGAGGAAAAAGCCACTCCTGGCAGAGACAGCACAAAGCCTTTATGGGGTTGTGTCCCACCACAAGACTCAACACAAGAGGAAGAGTATGAAGGGCTTGAAGGCTTAAACTGTGTGAGGGTGAATGTGTATGATGTCTCTGAGACATCTGAAAACAAAAGGGCTTTGCATAATTCCTCACAGCCCTTCTGAAGGAACTTAATCCCATATGCTAATTTAAATCCGATAACTCTTATATCATGCAAGACTGGTTCAATTTCTTAAAGACAGCTGGGTCCTGAGTCTACTTCTTATGTATTTTTTCTGTTGCTGCCCCTTTACATATTTGCTTAAGGAGAAATGACATTGAGATCTGTAAAGGTCAGTTGTTGATGAGACCTCAGAATGGGCAGATATAGGGTGGAATCAGCTGGCTGAACTTATTTTTTAGTGCCAAAGAGGCTTTAGGTCTTATTGTTATTATTGCTAACATTTACTGTAGCAGCTGTAGGCTCTGAACAAAGCTAGGAAAAATCTGCATAAACACACATCATCAGGGACAGAGTGAGATAAAGCATCCTTTTTTAAGAAAACATGTGAGTAGGGGATATGGAGAGAGGATAAGTGATTTGCCTCAATTCACAGGGAGGTTTTGTTGCAGAGACAGAAATGGAATCTCTTTCAGAGGTCCCAAATTAGCACGTTAACCTTAAGTTTAGTTTTGCATTCATTTATGCTGAGAAATCTCACTGAGAAGAATGAAGGGAAAAATACAGACCTTGTCATCCAGAATAGGCTCGCACTGAGAGTAGTTTATCTTGGAAGCCCATGTCCCATTGCCCAGGCATTCTCTGTAGGCATTTCCTGGTACAGACCAAAATAAAAGAGAGATGAACACTCTGTGCTGGACTTAGAACAGCTTAGACATTTCACAGGTTCAAGACAAGACTGACAGAACAGATTATTTACAAGGCAAATCAACTTATCCCACCTCTGTGATGACTGGAGCAACCCACTCAGAAGAGGAGAAATAAATAACAAACACATCTACAGACCATGAGTATTTAAAGGTATTTATTAACAGCTTTTTCTTACAGAGTATCAGTTCAGAAGACAGCAAAGGTATGAGAACACTTCAACTGAAACCACGCCTGGTGTTGTCCCAAGGTTCCAGTTCTCACAGATCCTAAGTGAAAATCACAAATTGCCAAAGCAGAGATTTAATGTCCAAATTCAACATCACCCTGCAGGGCTCTGGGAACTACACATGGCAATACTGGAGTGAAAGGGGGAGTTCAATTTCTGGCAAGCACTCTCTTCATCCCTAGGAATTCTAAGAGAAAACTGCAGTTTTCCTGTACAAACCTTCCTCCACTCCTCAAAGGCACATCCAATCCCAAGAAAGAGGTTCTTGGTTTTTTTCCATTCTTGTTTTGAACTGTTTCTTAGAAACAAGAGAATTAAAATAAAACAGGAAATCCAGGAAGATCCCCAAAGGACCAATACAGGCAACTTCCTGATGGACTCTTCATGATGTTGTTGCTGCCTTTTACCCAGTTTCTTCTTGGGCCTTTGCCACGGTCATTCAGTTCAGGAAAATCAAATGGTCCTAAATGTGCTGCTGACACCAGCCTTTGAAAAAGGTCAAGAGACTTTCGAAAAGGTGCTTTTGAAAAAGGTAAAAAGACTTTTGAAAAGGTCCTTTTTCTTACTGAAAAGGGAAGTCAACAAATAACAGTCCCTGCAGATGCTCCAGATGACACTGTACCCGCACACATCACTGAATTTCTCATTGCTGGTGTCTAGAGACACTTTTCCACAGCTCCTTTTTGGAGTGATAAGGACAAACTAAACAAAACAGTCTGAGTGGAGTTCAGGTGATAGGATCTGATTTACATCCCTAAAAGCCCTTGCATTTGCCCCCTCCTTTGGCCAGTGCTGAAGCTCCCTGTGCAGGATTGTTGCTGACTTTGAGCCTCTGCAGCAAACTCCTGACTCTCCAGATGAGCTGATGCTTAGTCGGATGCTGAGTCCCACTTCCAGAGTACTGCTCACATGAAACCATCATTTTATTCATTCAAACCCTTGTTTTACTCATTCTGACTCTTCATTTTCCCTGACTGTATCGCTCCAGCTCAGCTGTGGAGAGCACAAACACAATCCGTGCTGAGAGGCACTGGGGATGCACAACCCATATCAGTGCAGCTCTCTGAGCTGTCACAGCACATCTCCCACAGGGTGAGGGCATGAACAGGAGGGGGAAAATCAAACTCTGAATTTCTCTTGTCCAGGATCTCCTCGAGTATCAGTCATTTCTCAACACCAGCAGCAAGCAGATCTGGCTTCTGGGAACCTCTCATCCAAACTCCAGCTGTCATTGCTAATTTATACTCCACAGTAAAGCTCTTCTCTTCTCTTCTCTTCTCTTCTCTTCTCTTCTCTTCTCTTCTCTTCTCTTCTCTTCTCTTCTCTTCTCTTCTCTTCTCTTCTCTTCTCTTCTCTTCTCTTCTCTTCTCTCCTCTCCTCTCCTCTCCTCTTCTCTCCTTCTCTTCTCTCCTTCTCTTCTCTTCTCTTTTCTCCTCTTCTCTCCTTCTCTTCTCTTCTCTTCTCTCTTCTCCTCTTCTCTCCTTCTCTTCTCTCCTCTCCTTCTCTTCTCTTCTCTTCTCTTCTCTTCTCTTCTCTTCTCTTCTCTTCTCTTCTCTTCTCTTCTCTTCTCTTCTCTTCTCTCCTTCTCTTCTCTCCTCTCCTTCTCTTCTCTCCTTCTCTTCTCTCCTCTCCTTCTCTTCTCTCCTTCTCTTCTCTCCTCTCCTTCTCTCCTCTCCTCTCCTCTCCTCTCCTCTCCTCTCCTCTCCTCTCCTCTCCTCTCCTCTCCTCTCCTCTCCTCTCCTCTCCTCTCCTCTCCTCTCCTCTCCTCTCTTCTCTTCTCTCTTCTCTTCTCTTCTCTCTTCTCACTTCCCTGAACTTCCCTTCCCCCCCTTCCTCTCTCTCTTTTTCTCTCCCTCTCTCTTTTTTAATGACAAAATGCAGCTCTTTTATTCAGTGCTTTGAAGGAGAAACATCTCCTTTATTGGGTGAGGTAAGACCTACACTGGAGGCACCTGGAGGAAGCAGCTCTTGTTCCTGCACTGTGTGCAGAAAGACACTGGATTAAGTTCAGTTTTTCTTAGTGACTGTCACAAAAAAAAAAAAAAGGAAAAAAAAATGGAAGAACCATAATTGAGAACACCACTGTAGAAACAAACAACGAACACCCAAGAAGAAAAGAACACTTACATGATCTTTCTAGGGCAACAAGAGCTAATAATAAAGAAATGTAGCTATTAGCACTAATTTTTTCCTAGTTGAAAAACGATTGTGTAAAATCTCATTTTCCTAGACAAATGACATACTGAAGACCTCAGAATACTTTATCTTATAATTTCCCCTTCCTTCCTGACTTTATTTTCAAGAAGGTATACGCCAAAGAGAGATTTGGTTGTTACAAGATGTGGTTATTTGTGCTCTGTGTGCACTTGCACTTGTTTATTATATAATAATATAGTAATATCGTATAACATAATAATATGCTGTTATTGTATAACACAATAATATATTGTCATTGTAAAACACAACTGGACAAGGAGATTGAATGTTCATGCAAATGAATAATGAGCAGTAGATGAGTCAGGATGGCACAGGCAGCACTCAGCCTTTATGCACAGAGCTCTTGACACATCATCCAATATTCACTCCTGGGCCTCAGTCTATGGTCTCTCCTTCCACTTTAAAAATGCTGATTTCCTTTTCTTGTAGATTAGTGGCTCTTGGTTTCTTCTGCCTAATCATCAAGTCCAGGAGATGGGCAGGGAGGTAAAAGGGAACTGCTTGGACAGAAAGGAATTTCCAGGAGTGCTCAGGGTTTCCAGCTTCCACAGAATGGATTTCAGCCCCTCCAGGCTGCAAATGCATCATCCTGTTTCCCCAAGGGCTGACTCAGGGGTGCTGGTCAGAGTCATACTCCACCAGGAAAGCCAAGGACAGCAGGCAGAGCCCAGTCACACTGTGGTGTTTTTGGGGTCCCCAGGACAAAGGAGGAATTGAGAATGTGACTCCATGTTCTTAGAAGGCTTATATTATATTATATTACATTATACTGTTATAAAACTATACTAAAGAATAGAGAAAGGATACAGACAGAAGGTTACAAGGAATGATCATGAAAACTTGTGACTGCTTCCAGAGTTCCGACACAGTCTGACTGTGATTGGTCATTAAGTAAAAACAATTCACATGAAACCAATCAACCAACCACCTGTTGGGTAAACAATCTCCATACCACATTCCAAAGCAGCAAAACAGGGAGAAGCAATCAGATAATTATTGTTTTCTTTCTTCTCTGAGGCTTCTCAGCTTCCCAGGAGAAGAAATCCTGGCGAAGGGATTTTTCCAGAAAATTTGATGGTAACACATAACAGCAGCAGCAGCACCATTCACAGCTCTCCTGGACACTGAGGTGATGTAAAAGGGGTCTCCACCCCTGAAAAACCTCATTCCACACCACAAAAAGGCAGGTAAAAAATCTGAGCATGGCCACAGCAAAGCCTTGGCAGGAATACGGCTGGGATACCCAACTCTCCCTGACTCCAGCTCTTGGGAAAGTCCAGCTCAGTCTATTATTTTATAGCTCTTGAAAGAATATATCCAGATAAACAACCTAACACCCACAGAAATGTCTCACTTTTATGTATTTATACACACACACCCACGCTGCAGAGAGCCTGAATTTTATTCTTAGTGGAGTAGAACCATTTAAGAGCAAGTGAGAAATTCAAGGTGGAGAGCAAAAGTTCCTTGAATAAAGAAGAAAATTAGTGTTGGATTGTTGGGTTTGTGGGGTTTTTTTGTTTGTTTCTGTTAAGCTTGGGATTGAAGTGTTTGAGATTATATTTTGTGTTTAGATTTAGATGTTTATTATTTCTTGTTTATATTATAGTTTTATAGTATTTTATTGTCTGCTATTTTATAACAGACAAAAAACAAATCCCAAAAATACCACTGACACACGACATAATTAAAAACTTAAAACAAACAATAAAAGAGTAATCTAAACTCTCCATACTTCAAAAAACTATTAAAGAACACTTTCTGCAATTATGATCTAGTACCTCATGACTACAGATATATCACCACCACAATTTTAACAGATTCACAATACATACGATAAAAAGTCAAATAAAGAGAAATTCTTAATACAGTAATAAAAGTCTTATATTAGAAACATTGTATTTATCAAAATGCTTATAAATGGAAACATTGCATTTATTAAAAAAAAAAACAAACCCAGACTGTGATAAACACAACTCTGTCTGTTTGCAGGGTAAATAGGACTTTTAAGGAACTCCAGCATCTTTGTTGTTTCAATAAAAAGAAAAAAAGAAAAAGCTGATCAAGCTAGATTTGAGCCCATACATCAATAATAATGGAAAGTGATTTTCATTTGACATAGAAGAACATGAGAGAAACTCACAGACTTTTATTTACCCATTTGAAGGACTCCTCACACTCTGCTGTTTGATAAAGGGGGGAGACATCCAAACTCTGTTTCCAGTTTTCCCATAACTCTCCTCAGCATCCCTGCGACTCAGCACCACCATTACCAGAATAATTCTGGGAAAACTTGCATGGGATGAGAGCAGTTTTTCACAAATCAGCTCAAGGACCTTTATCCCAAACAGAAATGTGCCTTTTATACATCTGAACTCATGTAAAATGAATTCCACCTCGATTTATTTCACTTTATTAAGAACACTGCCAGAGACTCTTCTGAAGAGCCCTCAGTGTGTGTCTAAACAGAAAATGGAGCAGCAACATCCAATATTTGTCAT